TGCGTTTATTTTCTTCTTTTCTCTACTGTTTTTTATACAGTTATTTTTCGCTATGAATTTTGTGAATATTTTTAGAGCTAAATTTAGATCAAATATTCTTCCTTACACATTTACAGTGCACTGCCTATATGCTAAATGACAGAAATGCTAGTAAAGCGACCTCATCGTAGTTTTGGAGCGCCGGCATTCGGGGTGGCGCGATTTTGCTCATGAATATCTTGAAACGTCTAAAATATTGAGAAGTGTTTCTGCTGAGAAAATGTTGAGCGGCTTATTCCTTCAGGCGACAAATGAACCTCAAGAGCGGCAAAATTTTTGCTGTACAGGAATATCACGACATTAGCAAAAACAAGCCGCTAGAGAAGTCACTTATATAGTGACAAACCACTGAAGAATCTACTTATCTACCTATATTCAAATGTTTTAAGTGTAGCTATGAATTTTCGCATAAATCTATGAATATTCACAAAATTCGTAGTAAAAAATTACTGTACAAACAGTATACTGTGTAAAATTACTGTATGAAAATATGCTGTATAAAATTACCACACAAACAGTATGTCAACGGCATACTGTATAAAATTAATGTATAAACAGCATACTGTAAAAGATTACTGTACAAGCAGTGTCCTGCATAAAACTACTGTATAAATAGTACATTAAAAGGTTTCGAACAAAAAACATCGTACTTTAGAGTTTGGTATTGAACTAGCGCATACGAGAAATGCTTGCAATCAATTTTTTATTTGCAAAATCGCATTTTCAGTTGCTCTGCTGGTTGATATTGCATGTTTGCTACTGCAACGTGAATGCTTGGATGAATGTTATCGATCAGAAGTGAGTGATTTTTTATTTTGAGTTGCTTGCTTGTTATGTTCTTTCATGTTATCCGTCTGGTTGTTCCCACCCTCTCCCCCCCCGCGAATGGTTCTTTTCTTTTTCAACACTATTTTTCAGATTGCAACATCGATTGAGCGCCATCTGAACTCGAATGCTCGAACAGCTCTTTGCTCAAGGCTTGCTCAGCTTTACGTGCTGCTCTTGCCCAATGACGCCGAGAGAAGAGCAATCTTAGATCGGTGTTACAAAGAACTCTGTTCTACTGAAGTTAGTTTTCGATTACCAATTTTGCTATGGTACTCATACTCCTTTCCAGCTGGAAATTATGCTTTTCTGCTGCATTCCAGAGTATCAAAATCATTATCAGCTTGCTTAGAAAGCAATCGCTAGAAGAGAAAATCGTTGAAAACCTTGACAGCATGTAGTTATTATTGTTTTATGCTATCATTTGGGTTATTATCTTCCTACAGGAACGCAATGTGGATGGATCTTGACCTTGTTTTTTTGAAAATAAAGCAATACGCCAAATTACGGTACTAAATCTCCCCTCCTAAGGAGGACGCCCTGGATTGGCGTATGGTAAAGTCTTTCTGCTTATGACCCCATGTACGTAGCGGGCTATCTTTAAAAGTGAATATTCA